TGTGGCAACTGCAATTGGTATGTATATTTCATGAGGGTAGTGTAGTTGGAGAAATTGTACGCGTCTACCAATTTTTGTTGCTTGGTAGAAGGATTGACGGCCATGTGAATAGCCAGATAGGTTTGTTCCTGTCCCCCTTTTTTTTTTTTAGCGGAAGTCAGTTGTATATTTTGTTAGCGTAGTTGCAAGGACGAACTTGGTAGTCCCAATTGTGAAATATGGAGTGAAATTGCTATATTGCTTGTTATGTTGTTCTATCATAACAAGTATATTGTAAGTAATTTGTTTCCCCCCTGAAGCATCGGGGCATTGTTCTATTCTACTTTGCTGTCATTGTTTTGTTCATGCAAATACCAAGTTCATATTTGGAAGAAACATTGCTTGAAAGTTGAATCAATCAATTAGAAATGCTGTTTCTCATGTTGTTTTTAACTTTCTTGAATATCTATCATGATTTTTTTGTCAGATCACCAAATATTTTTGATGTAATGGCATAGCAGGCAGTTAGGTTTGTATAGCATTGATGCCATGCCTCCATGTTTGAGGTTCATCTTAATTAAGAAAACCTTGAGTCGTCACAACAATTTACTCTGGATCACGCAATAAAACAGGTTATACAATTTACTTTGGATCTCAACGATACAAAGTCTTTAATCTAGAAATACAGGAACCATGACAATTCAGGCAAGGTCTCTCCATTCTAATCCAAGAAATTAAATGTTAATTTATGACCCAGGCACAAACTTGGTGGCGTAGACCCAAGCGTTGTTAGCAACAGGGTTGTCTAGGTGGTCCAAGAGATTCTCCAGGGGACCTTTTCCAGTAACAATAGCCTGAACAAAGAATCCAAACATGGAGAACATGGCTAGCCGTCCATTCTTGATTTCCTTCACCTTGAGCTCGGCAAATGTGGTTGGATCATCTGCCAGGCCGAGAGGGTCGAAGTATTGGCCGCCAGGGTAAAGGTCATTGCCCTCTCCTACTCCAGGGAGACCATTGATGCGGAATCCCTCAACAAGGCCCATGAGGACAACTTGGAATCCAAGGACAGCAAGGATGCTTTGGGCATGTACAAGGTTGGGGTTGCCCAAGTAGTCCAAGCCACCTTCTGAGAAGATTTGAGCTCCAGCTTTGAACCACACTGGTTCCTTGAAGTCTACTTTAACCCATTTCTCAAGGACCTCTGGGGTGATGCAGCCTAGTGCTCCAAGCATAGCCCATCTGCCATGGATCACCTAAAAATAGTGCACAATAGTCTTAATTCGACGTTGTCGAAGATCCTTCTTTCCATCACTGAAACCTCTCCAAGAATTGTACTAGGCTAGTAATATCTAAGTCGCATTTGTATCAAAATATTCCATCTTACATGATTTTCGAAGGCAATTATTATTCATCATAGAGAAACTTGTCATGATTTTGGAGACAAAAAGGTTACCTCAAGAGCCCTGTTCTTAGCAAAGGCCTCAGGATCAGCTGATAAACCAGCAGTGTCCCATCCATAGTCACCTGGGAATTCTCCAGTCAGGTATGAAGGAGTCTGAGCTGAAAATGGTCCCAAGTACTTCACCCTGTCAGGTCCATACCACAACTCATTGCTCTATTCAAGCAGAACCTATCCATGTTAGCCCCCATCAAAGGGAAAAAAAAAAAGGAAGGAAAACTAGAGAAGAGAGAGAGAGACCTACCATGATGTATTTGCCATTTCCCATGGAGACAACATCTCTAAGAGGGTTAGCATTTGAACCCCTTTTGCCAAGAAACGGGGTTGGTCTAACAATGGTGCTGGAGCTAGCAAGTGATGCCATTGTCTTGCAAATACGTTCAACAGTGTTTTCTTAGGTTAAAACTTGTTGATGTCTCTTGAAGAGGAGAGAAATGTACACTGGAAGGGCGTCGAAAGGGAAGTGTTAAGCTTATATGTGAAGGAAAAGCATGAGAATCAAAAGAACGAGTGGTGAAGAACGGAAGAGAGACGTGTTGGTGGTGGTGGTCTTAGAGGTTTAAAACAACCAATGAGGGAGCTGCAAAGGATTTTAGGCATCTCCAACTCATCTCCTTCTATCCTCGTATATTATCTTGTCTTTCCTTTAGATTGTTTTGTTAATCTCTTTTTGAAAAAAAATTATTTGGCCTTCAAGATTATTTGAGAAGTGATTTAGTTTCAATTAATAACTTTTAACTCGTGTTTTATTGTGGGTCATATATTTTGTTTTTAAAAAAAGTTCAATATATATGCATGCTTATTCAACATGTTTTTTTATATAAAAAAATTCAAAATATAAATTAAAAAACCTATATATATATATCAAACTAAATAAATTTAAAATTATTTATGTCAATAAATAAACAATAACTATGAAAATAAAAAAAATAAAAGGTAAATATAAATTAAAATATTTAATCTTAGAACATGAGCTATATATTCGGTTGTGCTCAATGATTTTATGCTTAATATAAATAGATATGTATATGAAATTGGTTGAATAAATGAAAAGAAAAGAATAACATGTAAGGTTATATATATTAAAATAAATATTTTTATTTTTTAAAATTTTATATATATAAAACATAAAAAAATTATAGATGAATCAAAATAATATTTTAAAAATTTAAATACATATAAAACATTTTAAAAAAAAACCTATTAAAAAAATAAAATAAGTGAAAGAAGAAATCATTGAAGGGCATTAACTTTAACATAAATTTAAAAATTATTAAAAACAATACATAAAAAATATCAATTAAAATAATAATCACAATTAAATAAAAAATAAGAAAAAAAGAGTCATAGTGTAGGTGGTGCAAGTGTGTTTAAAAGAAATAAAAAAAACAAATGACCTGATCAAATTATTTAATTATTTAATGAGCTAATTTTATTTTGATTAGATGATTAAAAAATATATTATAATAATAAATTGATAAAATTTTTATAAAAGTAAATATCACTATAATTTAAAAAAAAAACTTTGGAAGTACTAGATTTGATAAAAAAAATAGTTCAAAGTCAATTTTAATTAGCATGATAAACATGTAACTTAGATAATAAAAAATTGACTAACTCAGATTGATTTGCAAGATTTATTATCTAGATCATGAGATCGGAATAACCTAATAAAAATAAAATTATAAAAAACTATAAAGTTATTTTTTAAAAAATAAATGAAAAATCAAAAGAAAAAATGAGAAACAAAATATGAGCTCACAATAACATTTTAAATTTATAAATCAAAATTTATAAATCAAGTAATTATACCGGAAGCATCATATATATATATATATATATATATAGACACACACACACCAATAAGCATGTTTAGTTTCAAAAAATAAAGGATGAAAATGAGAATAAAAATCAATTACTTGTAAGACTTTCGTTTAGTTTTGTGTTGGGAAGGGTGAAATGAAAAAAATAATGTGTATGTTTACGGTATTTTTCATATTTTTTAAAATATTTTTTATTAATAAAATGTTTCTGAGCCCCCCCAGGAAGCATTTGGGTACAATTTTTCTTTTAAAAAAATGAATCAAAGGTCCAAATTCATCAATTTTGTAGCCTTTCCAAAAAAAATAAAAAAACTTTCTTATCATTACTAAAACAAATAGTCCCCACTTAGCAAATTCCATTCGTTTTTTTAATTTTAAAAAAAATCAATTTTTACTATAATTATATCAATCATAAACTACTTGTTTACACTTTAGAGTATTTAGTGTTTGAAAATCACTTAACCTTCTCAAAAGCACGACCTCGACCTAAAGCTTCTTACAATCAAGCTTTGTAGAAATGCAAAAGGATTATGTGCTTTGTGCAAAAAAATCTCAACAACCTATTTCAGTTCAATATTATCCAATTCAATCAGAATAATTAGGATTTTGCATCGTAAGATTATCAGTTTTTATGTAAAGATGCGAGGGAGAGAGGTGATGGAAAAGTTTAGAACAATTTTCCAACGACACTCAACCCTTGCCTCCTCCATCCTCTATCCTTCCTCACCTTATAAAAAATTGTGTCAATGAGAAAAGAAGGGCATAAACATGGACTGATTAAGCAATTAGCATTCAAATTAATAAGAAACAGTGAATTAACATGACAATAAATTTTTTTACTAAAATAACATATCTTTTTATCTCATGATTTAAAATTACAATATCAATTTAATTGTTGTTACAATTCTAAATCGTGATATCAATTAAATTCTAGTGACCATTCAAAGAGAACTCTAGCAATAATTTTTTAGTTAAATCTAATAAAAAAATAATTTTAATGAGATTTATTATTTATTTTGTTAATCTAATATTTAATTTAATTAATGATTGTAAAGTGAAAAATATTTAAGAATGTTTGGAAACTAGAATGAGTTTGATTTTTGGATGCTTAACTGCAAAAAAAATACAAGTGTTATGTGAGTTTGTTTTAAAAAATTAGAACTAAGAGCATAAGTTTAGAGAGAAAAAGAGTTGTGTTTTTATATGTTTTCACGTGTTTTATATTTTTAAAATACAACAAGATAAAAATATATTATTTAGTCAAAAAAATTAAATAGTATTATTTTGCAAAAAAAATTTAAATTACTGTGTAATTTTTTTAAAAAAAATCCAGAAACATTGGAGAAAAGTGGAAGAAAAATATTGCAAATAGCTTAAAAGAATCTTCGTTCTTTCTTAATTCCTTCTACCGTGGTCTCCCTTCCTTCCGAAATATAATTTGTCCTTCATGTAAGAAAATGAACCACGCCGTGACAGTAGCCTTCGCCCACTCTCATTCCATCATTTCAATATTTCAAAATTTCCCAACGGTCGAATTACTAGCCCCATATTTCCATAAAAACCATACCATTTTATTAACATTTCAACCCTCCCATCAAAAGATCTCAACCGTCAAATTTCGTGGGCTCCACATAGTCCACGAACTCGTAAATCAATCCGACGTCCTTAACTCACTCAAGCAGAGATCTAAGACACTTGTAACGTCAATAAACACGTAGCAGTCTCCCCAATGGGATTTTGGTTAAAAAAAAAAAAAACAGGAGAGAAGCGGAGGAGCCAAGAGAACAAACAAAACCCATTGGATTAGAAATGGGAAAATTTGGGTTCTTTACAGCAATGCAATCAAGAAACACGAACAGTGTGATTTTTTGTTGTTGAAGGGTTCTTCTTCATCACTTACGAAAGAAACCATAAAATGGATCCTATTAATAAGGCTAGAGATCACTGGGCATTTCTGGTAACTCTCGTACTTCTTTTTTTTTTTTTAAAAAAAAAAAGGATTCTAATGGGGTTTGTGGTTTCTTCTGTATCTTTGAATGGGTACCTGATTTTCGTTGCATTGTGAAACGTTTTTTTCTTTTTGGTTGTTTTTGTCACATGTTTTATCAGGGTCATGTGTGTAGTTTAGGAGGGGTTATCTAACAGGTTTTGATTGAAATTTCGAGGTTCTTTATCTTGAGTTTGGTGTCTTGGTAGTATCTCTGATAGGTATTTAACATGTTTCGGGCAGGAGATATTTTATTTCTAGTATATTCTTATTCTTGGGGTCCTATTTTTATTATTGATTGGATTTTTTCAAAAAAAATTTAGATTTGTTGTGGCATTATGTCATAATATACAATGTTGATTTTGGACTTAGTTAATATTCCTGAAATGATTTGATCATATTAGATGTCTTATTTCCAAAACTTTAGGCTCAGTTGATATCATTTTTTTTTTCCTATCACGTTGCCTTTTGTTTGCTAATGGTGGCCTTTATATTTTATCTGGATTTTCACGCATTCATTTATTACACGTTGTTGATTACGCTCTGATTGTTGATGTATAGGAAGAAATCGAAGCACCAATATGGGTGGATTTTTTGGTAGAAGCAAAGTCTAACTACCAAGATGTGTTAGTTCATCACTTCCTCTTTATGTCATGAACTGCTACTAGAATTCCATGGTAAGCGAAATTCTGCATTTGTGATACTGATACGTTTTCTTTTTCCACATTGCAGAGATGATGAGTGGTTTAGAACTAGCCATCCGTAAGCATCTTTATCCTCCCTGGTTATATTTCTATTTTCCATATCTAGCAGTGGAATTTTTGTTGGTGAAAATCTAAAATAATGATGCTTAGTAACAACTAAATCAATACAGGTTCCACCAATGTTCTTCTAGCCAGTTAAAAGCTGCGTCTGCTTATTCTGGTGAGAATAGTACATCTTCAGATTTTGAGTGTAGTGGGTCATTTTCCCCGAATATCCCATCCTCTGTCTCAAGATCAAGGGGCAAACATTATGCAAGAAAGAAATGGGGAGGAGGTGGTCACGATATTTCAATGAATAAGCAGCATCCAGTTAAGGTGTTAAGTAAGTCTTCGAGGGTGAATTCAGAACCCAAAGACAAAATAAAACCCAAACTAAGCTTAGTAAATTCTAAAGGAACTTCTAGGTCAAAAGCAAGTGTGGTTTCTGGGAAGAGCTTCACTCGAAATGCTAAGGAAACTGATTTAGAAGCCAAATCTTGTCAAGGTGGTACAGAAAGTAGTCTGAATTCTCTGGAGGTTAAGGCAGCTGAAAGCAATACAAGGACTGTTACATCTGAGAGAGATCATCAAGCAAAGCAAAGGAACCTAGAAGTATCTTCGAGGGTGAATTCAGAACCCAATGACAAAATAAAACCCAAACTAAGCTTAGTAAATTCTGAAGGAACTTCTAGGTCAAAAGCAAGTGTGGTTTCTGGGAAGAGCTTCACTCGAAATGCTAAGGAAACTGATTTAGAAGCCAAATCTTGTCAAGGTGGTACAGAAAGTAGTCTGAATTCTCTGGAGGTTAAGGCAGCTGAAAGCAATACAGGTACTGTTACATCTAAGAGAGATCATCAAGCAAAGCAAAGGAACCTAGAAGTATCAAGTCGAGGATTTGATCACGCAAGTGGGCTTTTGTCAGCTGTCAGGAATGGTCTCAGGAAAAGCTTTGTTACAAGAAAAGCATCAAGGGTGGAGATTAATGATGAGAATAAACAATTAAGAGATCGCAAATCTTCATCCAGCAAATCTAGTTGGGGATCATCATCAAACCCTCGTTACGATGCTAAGAGCTCAACACTTGGGTTCAAAGAACAAACTCCAGATAGCAGAAATGTGGCAAGGATGACCGAAGCAGCGAGGAAGAAAACAAAAGATTCTGACACGTCCAAGGCTTCTGTTTTTCGAGTTAAGGAGGTCTTTAATTATAGAAAGGGAGGTATAAGTAATGTTGCAAAGTCAGCTTCCCTAGGAGCTCTGAAATCAAAGGTTAGAATCTGTACAATTCAAGAGATGAGTGTTGCTAAATTTTTCCAAGCCCAGAAACTTTTGGCTCTTTGATAAATTACATGTAAAATAACTTACTGCATTCTATTTTAATGACAGTAATAGGTTGCCAAGATGAGTGACATTTATTATAGGATTTTTAATGAATGACTTATCATAAAATGGGAACAAGTTGAAATTGTTAAACTTTGCAGGTCCAGAACCAGACCCTTCGTGTAAAAGCGTTGGCAGACCATAGAGGTAATGAACTACACCCATTACATGGTACTGCAAAAGCTAAGGAGAAGGTGAGAGTCGGCGGGAACAACAAATTGGTTGGCCCTGGAAAAGAAAACGTGACAGGAAAAGCTTCCCTGAGCTTGAATTGCAGCAGCAGAGGGACTAAACTGAATGTGCCACAAAAGGGTGACAAAACATTGTTGGTTAGACAAAAGGTACAAAATTGTCGATCATCAATTTTCTGTCCTCAACTTCGATTTTGTTTGCTTCTTTTTTCCTGAAAAATGCAGTCATCTATGGACATGTGAGGTTCTTTGCTATTTCATGAGGATAAAATCATGCATGCGGAAATTGAATGAAACTTAACATTTCTTCTTTCTCTGTAAGTTAAATATTACACAGCTCATTAGAAGAAGTCTGAAATGGTTAACTAAATTTTTGTAATGAGAAATTTAACAAGAGCCTTCTGTTATAAAGAAGCATCTTGATTTATTTCACTTCTACCCTGTGGGAGCAGTCTAATGCGTTCTAGTGGAAGACATTTGTTTCTTTCTAAAGATGTCTTTGGATTACAAACACAAGTAGGGAAGAATATGAAATTCTGAATCACATGCTGGGTTTGGACTGATAAATGTGTAAGATGTGGGAGTTTTTCTTTATTGCTCCTGTCCTCGCCAATCCTCATTCCTCATGTTGCAATCAAATTAAAATTTTGATGGGAATTTTAGCTTTGCGAAGGCAGGTATGAGAGTGAGCACCATTCTTTTATTCCTTTTCCTCCTCTGACCCCACTTGACCTTTCATAAGAACGCAACAGTACTTGAGGTTGGCAGCTCCATAAGGTGTTCATGAACGTGACAGTTGAAAATCAAAATTTACTCAATTTTTTTTTTAAAAAAGCCAATTGTGTTTGTTGACGGAATTTATTTCCTAGGGAGGATTTCTTATTGGCTTGCGTGCAGAAGGTCTGATGTGTTGTTATGATGGAATATGGTTGGTGTGGTTTTGCTTACAGTTCTTTTGTTCATGTGGTAAGTGCGTCTTTCAGTCTGAAGATGGGATTATCTTCAACAAAGAACCGATGCAACTTCTCTTATATGATGTTTCTGGTGGATTACAAATTGAGTGTCATTATTTGGTTCTCTTGTGAATTTTTATATGCCATAGCTTCACACAATCTGATATTTCAACTAACTTTTGAGCAGGGAAAAACCAGCAGTCCAACCAAGGGGAGGCATTCAGCAAATTTGAGTCAGAGGAGACACCTCCGATAAACAAAGCATTGCTGGACAGTACATATATTGTAAACGTAATTTCTCTCAGAGAAACGTTAAATTTCATCCCACTTCTGTTGCGTCCATATCAAACTTGCCATATTCAGGGGCAAATTTTGTTATTATGCCTTGTTTTTTTTTTTGGCTGGCCATGCGTAGCTTTCTTTCGTACAGGCGCCGTGGTTCTTTTGCCTCAGGCCTCGCTATCTGAGCATATTCGAAGTGAGTGATTGGAATTGAAGTTTCAATTCAAAATATTTTTTAAAATTTAAAAATATATTAAAATAATATTTTTTTTATTTTTTTAAATTAACACATCAAAACAATCTAAAAATCTAAAAATATTAATTTCTAGCAAAATAAAAAATAAACTTTTTACAAATGCAGGTTAAATTGCATTTCAAACAATCCCGTAACAAGTTGACTTTTATCAAATGAATTGTTTAGGGCGTTGTGACTTTGTAATATCGCTAAAATATTATTTTTGTATTTTAAAAATATTTTTTAAAAACATTAATTTTTTTATTTTTTGTTTAAAATTAATATTATTTTAATATTTTTAAATTATTTTAACTGATATAAAAAAAAATTAAAATAAAAAAATATTATTTTAATATATTTTTAAATAAAAAACACTTTATAAGACAATTACTACCATAACCCCAGATACACCCTAAACATACAATAAATAAGCTGTCAGGAAGCCAACCATCCTGTTGGCGAGTCATTTTATATGGCCAACGTCAGTTTTCATGCAGCTTTCATTTTATTTTATTTTTATTCCAGCAGGCTGTCTTAACAGTAACCTTGCAATTAACTCTTGTATATTTATCTCGATTGTAACTTCCTTTCGCCTGTCATTCTCGTGGTGCCTTACATGCATACTGAATTTATAGGCCCAACGTCAGTTTTCATGCAGCTTTCATTTTATTTTATTTTTATTCCAGCAGGCTGTCTTAACAGTAACCTTGCAATTAACTCTTGTATATTTATCTCGATTGTAACTTCCTTTGGGATACCACTTGGGTGGGTAAGAGGAACAAGATCCCACTTGATCATGTAATAAAAAGATCTCAAAGCTGCTTCATATTAGCCATGTTCTATACAAGCTCAAATTTGTACAAAACTACAGCAGGCATCCACTTATCTGGAAAAAGGCAAGCATACGGCAACTAGCACTCTAGTATGCATCAGCATCATTAGTTCTGTGGTTTGCCGCTATTAGACAATACTGCCGGATTAGTCTCGACTCTTCATTTCCATTACAGAGCACGAGCACATGGGTCATCAGCAATTCTTCAAACAAGGATCCACACCAGAATGGGTTGGCGTGATCATGGCAAACCATCTGCTCCACCAGTATCTAGGATAGGAGTGCGAGACCTCAGCTGCTCTTACCTTCTTAAAGCACCATAATTCCTTGTTACCTACAAAAGATAGGGTGCTTATCAGGTTCAGGAAGAGCTAAAAAATGTTAATACCTTGAAGTTCAAGTATAAATTGCAAATTTGTAAGGTAGTCATAAAAAAACTTGTGGAGCAGAGATTTCTAAGCTTTGCCGTCTGGCAAACTGAGATTGACCAATTATGTGATATTAGTTAATATGCACAAATAAAATTCCCCTAAGAGAACGAATCTAAATGTCACCAACCCGTGGTTGAGACTTATTTAATCTCTTTGTCATGTCATCATCGTCGTCGTCGTCGTCGTCCTTGTTCATAAGCATCCTCTGAAGGGCAGAATTCTCAGATTTTCTTCCCCGCTTTGATGGTGTAGCACCTCTTCCTCTTCCCCTTGCAGCAGCTCTTTTGCGTCCTTTGCCTTGCATGCTCTCATCATCGTTCTGCACAACAGGCCAAATCCAGTTACATGTATATTTGATTCAATCCATTTTTGGCACATGCATTAGAATCTATCACATTAACCGAGCAACAGGAGATTCGTGTTGATATATATGTGCCTGATTCTCACTTAATCAAGAGCTTCAAAAGTCAAAAGCACTCAGATTTAACAAAATTATCAAACTTGAACCTCAGAATTTAAGCTTTAGATTAGCTTTTAAAAAAATCTACATTTTACTTCTGGAATATTAAGTTGGACCACACGTGAGTCTCTTATTTATAGGAAAGAGGCAATGTCTTGCAACCTGGTCTCCAAGAAAATATTTTGTTCCATCCAATATTATGTTAACTTGGTTAGGTTGAAGCAAAATGAACTGAGGCTGTGTGCTAATATAGACAATCATCCACATGATAAGCTTAAACAAAACGTGGCCCCATCTTGCAAAATCCATTAGTAAATTGAGGTACAACGAAACAGGTACATGTGTGAGCATGTCAATGGCTTGTAACTAGTTTCCTGAAGATAAATTCAAGATTGCTGTAATTGGTGGATGGTTCCTTCTGTTGCTAGTGGAATCCCTAGTTCTGTTTCTTTCAATTTATTCTGAGTGAAGGTATAAGATTATGGCACAGTTTTTTTTTACACCAATCGAGGTGATATCATGAAAACTTATATTTAAAAGTGTTGAGAAATGACAAAACAAAGCCAATAATAGCAGCTAGCTGGCCATACCGAGCTATCAGCAACCTCATTCATTCCAAGTTTTTTTGAATCTTCACTTGAAGCTGAATCAACATTTTCATCCTCAACAGCAATGCTTCTAACTGCCGCTGTTGCAGCAACTGATGCAGACCTGCAACCCCAAAAATTTGATGGTCAATGATATGAAAAGTCAGCATGCCCTTTTTGACCAAAAGAACTTCCTAGAATTTAGTGAGGGTACCCCCTCAAAGGCTTTGGACAAAAGTGTGCAAATGAAAGTTGGGGTATTTAATGATACATGAGTATTGTTTAGCAGAGATCCTTAAAACTGTTCAACGCACTTTTTCACAAATTTCTTACACAATGAAGATAAGGCAGCTTCTCTTTAACTCATATTTTTCTGCGAGTGATCAGAACCTCCAGATTTCCCTGGTTTTGCCATAGTTGGAATTTAAATAAAACTCTGATTTGATAGATGATGCAGGCTATGATTTAATTTCCTTATTTCTTTTCTTGAGATTGTTGATGCTTAGTCCACTTAAAGCTGTCATTTAGATAAATTATATCCCCTTCAAACATAATTGGCATGGTTCTATAAATTCCATCCCTTTCTGCATAATCAGACATAAAATAAGAGAAATCAGGGACAAAAGCATGAACCTCTGAGACTGGCGAAACCCTAGAGTTGCATCAAGAGTCGTCTGCTTCAAGTTACTTGAGCCTCTTCCCCTACCCCTTCCCCTTCCCCTTCCTCTTGCAGAAGTTTTGCCTTTACCAGTTTCTGACACATCATGCGAAGACCTAGAACCTACTCTTGACCCTTTTCGGCCTCTAGTGGTGGATGTGGAGCCAGATATCTGTGCTGCGTCTTCCTCGTCACTAAATGAAACAGCACTTCCAACTCCAGCACTTGTACTTCTGAGATCCTGAGAGAGAGAGCAGAGGCTCAGACAATTTCTTTTAGCTGGTGCAATGAGTTTTTAATAACAGAAAATATTGGGAATTACTAATGTTATTGCAATAAACTTGGAAAAACCCATTTCGCTTACAAAAATGAAAAATAAGCATGAATTACCTCCATGGACTGTGCACCGGATGTGAATTGTGCAGCATCAGTGGAGCGTACAGACCTTTCCTTGACACGTTCCTGCAACAAATATTATAGTATCATCAAAAAAAAAATTCCTGGCTTGGTATATAACTGATTTTACTAGGTAAAATAAAAGCTCAGCATGGGCTTTGAGGAGAGCTTCTGAAGGAGTCATTTGGAGCTCAATGTTAGTTGGTTTAACTACCCCAAAAGCATAATGCTGAGGCACCAATAGTAAATAATGCACACATGCATATATGAAGAAAAAGAATACCTACTGAATAGACACACTAACTGATGTGAAAATTAAAAGTTTCCACAACAAATAAAATCAAATTGAGCAACTGTCAAAGCCTCAAGGACTGAATAAGTGGCTGCTAACTGCTTTGAAAAATGCAACCATCTGTATATCATGCTTAGAAAAAGAACCAAGTCCCCAGGATACTTGGACGTTAGTTAAACTTCATGGCAATTAAAAGTATGAATAATAAGAACATTAAACTCTTGCCTCCAAGCATTCTCCAACTTTAAGAATTAGATCTTCATCTTCAAACTTCATGGTATCTGAATCTTTCGCAATTTTGCTCTGTGGAAGTAAGTTAATAAATAAAAAGCATCAGCAAGAAATATAATGGTTACTAAATCAAAAGCATCAGCAAGAAATATAATGTCCCAACACAATGGTCCACGCAAATAACTCGAAGGACAACCACTAGTAGTCTACAAGAAATTATCCATATAGACTTTGACAGCATAAATGCAGTGATTCAGAAGTGATCCAGTAGATATCCGATGAATTACTTTAAATTGGGAATATAGTATGGCATACTTACACGTGTTTCTTGAAGATTATATTGCACGCAAGCATAGAATGCCATCTTATCATCTTTATTAACAAAATTATGCAATGCAACATCCAAATCATTGACCGGAAGAATCTCCATTTTCTGCAAGAACAGAAATTATCACAATCAAGACTCAAAATTGATTAAAGAAAAAAAATGCACCATGTGACTGATTCTAAGCTATTTCTAACTTGATTCCAGGATTTTATGCAGTTCAATTTAATACTAGGTTGAAAGGAGAATTATATGTAGGATAGAGATCTCTCATCTATGGAACCACTAAAGTCATCCTCTAGAACTGGAATAATAAAGCATTACAAGATATTTGGATCCTGTAGATGACATACAGGAACTCCATTTTATTATGATGTTTAATATTCAAACAAGAGTTACCAGGAGAAGTAATGAAGAAATGAGGGAGGACATGATGAGCAAGTACCAGATTATTTTCAGCAACTAAAGCCTCTATGTTTTGTTGATTTAATTCTTCTGGGCGAAGGCGTTCCGTATCATCGAATTTAGCTGCAATTCAAGAAAAACATTATAGTGTTGCTTAAATACACAGTAACAAATTTATGTAATTACCACAATGAAACTGAACTTTTTATTTCTTAAAAAGGTTGGAAAGAAGTATAAGACAAAT